GGCCAAAATATTTACTTTTTGTGGTCTAGATGTTCCAACCCTCTCCTTCAGGATCTGTGATTTAATTAATTCTTCTGTTTTTATCTGGAATCCCTTTGCTCTGCCACAGCAAGATTACACTCACTATATTTAAATATTGAAAATATTCTCTGCCAAGCAATTTGTTATTCTTGAAAGATTTCCAGGACAATTCTATTAATATTAAACCTCCTGCAAAACATGAACTTCTTAGACTGTATCTACTGCTTTGCCTATTAATCCAAATAATTAGATTTATTTGAAGAAACTTCAAGTGAAAAGCATGGAAACTAATTTGTCTGTAACACTGCTTTAGAATTTGGATATATTGTTTATTTTATAAATTAATATGGAAAGGTAAAAGGAAATACTGGAATTGGAGAAGTGTTGTCATATGGGTATTTCCGTAACATCGATATGCAAATTTTGTAAAATGTGTAAAATTTTTTGTACCTTATATAATCTTCTAATCTTGTTATAGTGAAAAAGTAATTTGAGGTAGTTCTAAGCCTGCACATGTAACGAGATGGGGATGAAACCACATTGCACTTTTTATCAGTAATTACCCCAAAACATGGTTCAGTGTAATTGGTTCACTTTTGCTTAATTAAATTGCACAGTGCAGAGTGTCAGAATTAGTGTGCTCACTAATAGGTCAGAAGAGGTTCAAACCATACACAAGCCAACTGAAAAGAAAAATTTAATCTAGGAACAAACTTAAATAATTAACAGGCAACACTTGGCCAATGACTTTCCTTATGTAGGAATCATTGCCTATATTAAGTGTTCTGCAGCACTGTAAATTCATAACTAAAATGTTGATGTTGGTTCTATAATTCAAATAATATTGTAATGTCAGAATTCAATTAGCTATTTAGCCTACTTTTGGTATTCTTGTCTTTCTAGAAGATTTGCTGGGAGAGGCAATTTTCTTTATGACTCTCATCCCTTTTTCTTTCTTTATCTTTTTCTGTATCCACAATAGGAGAGGAGATAAGCCTCAAAACTTATTAAACTTCTACTTTGCTTCCCTTGATGGGTGATAGAAAATTGTCAAAATCTGCAAATGCTTAAAAGCACTTCAGGTGAATTGCTGCACATACCATGAGCATATTTGGGGACTATGGTAGGAAGAAGAAATACTGATAACAATCTGGTGTCAGCCTGTCATTAAACACACTAAAAAACACAGACGTTGAAAAAGTAAAAGGTCTGCTCATGCAAACAATAACAAAATAAAGTGTAAAATTCTACAGACACAAGGATACAATGTATAACAAAAGAGAATTCACTTTCAGTGTTATGGGAAAGTGTAATTTACAACTGTGAATGAAAGAGATACTATTGGAAGGTTCATTTCTGGTTACACTGCCAAATCAGCAGTGTGTTCTATTCACTAAAAAAGCTCTTGCTTCAGACTACAAGAGATCAATAATACATTGTGTTTTCCTTAGTACACAGGTTGTAGTTAAAGTCAGCAACTGTGAGTGCTACTCTTTAAAAAATCCTAATGGAGGGGTCTTGGTCCAAACATCACAGCATTTTTTAAACATCAGCAAATCCTAATGAGTGCTGCATGGAAAAAGTGTTTTAAGTTTGTTGTAAATATGTTCTTGGTCAGCATCCTAATTAAAGTGTTTGCTTTGATCACATTAAAACACAGACAGTAAAGAGTGATGGTTCAAAGGACTAATGCACAATACAACATGATATTAAGAGAAATGTAAATGAAAAATTAATGGATTTTGTTTTTTTTTTGAGAAAGTCAGGGTTTTATTATAATTATCATCACTAAAGATAAAACATGTATAGTTAATTACACAAAGAAAAAGGGACAACCCATTATGTGTAATTTATATCCTATATTTCCTGTTTGTTGGGTTTTGTTGTTTTGTTTTGTTTGGGGTTTTTTTTGGTTTTTTTTTGTTATTAACAGAAATATTATTACTTCAAAGTTTGTTATACAAAGTGGCAAAAGTTTCAGGGGGAAAAAATGTAATAATATGACTCTAGTTTTTTTATATTTCATATTTTTGCCATCTTTTATTGCATTTAGTATGTTTGGATACATCTGAAAAAGCACAATGGTTAAGATTTTAATTGGCATTCAGAATAATTCACAAAGTTACAAAAAATTAATCTGTGTGTAGATGAATGAGCACTCTTCTAACAAAGTTGTTCCCCTGGAAATCCTGCTAAAATTCAAACTAAAAGCTGGTGCAGGGACACTGTGGAGGGAATGCCACCCATCCTTTTTAGCTGTTTGGTTCCCCAACAGTTTCCTGTGACTTGTGGAGTTCAAGGCTGGCAGGAGGCAAAGCTGTGAGAGGAAACACACTCATTTTGTCTATGCTCTTGTCACATCTCTTCCTTCCTCCTTTTTGTATTCAGCTGTAGTCCGACATGACTTGTAAAAGCAACAGAAAGGGGAAGCCAGACCTTCCAAGCTCCTTGCAGGAGGAATTGCCTGCCTGATGTGCACACAGGTGTATGTGAGGATGCACAAGGGCTCACAAGTGCCTGGAGAGTGCCTGCACAGACATAAGCACATAAATGCACATATAAGCATACAAATATATAAATACACGTGCTGCTGGGCTTGTCTGAGAAAAGCCTGGTGTAAAACCCCATATCTGCACCATGCAACAGCACAAGTGAGGGAAGGAACCTCAGTTCACTTTTGCTGTGCTAATTAATTGGTCTTTCCCACTGATGTGGGAAAAGTTTTTGACTGTTCCAAATGACTCATCTTCACCTGGGGCCCTTTACACAGGATATCCTGCATTGATATTTTATGGCAGGCTGGCTGGGAAGCATCTTACTACTCCACCAGGAATTGCAAAAGAATTAAAGCCTGAATTCTCACCCCTTACCCAAAAAGCAAACCTTGGTAGGTAGTTAGTGCTACTTTTCTTTTGGCTGTTAATTCTAAACCAGAACAGTATTGAGACTCATGGCCTCAGAATAATTCATGTTTGAAGGGATCTTTAAAGGTCATCTAAACACCCAAATTGTAAAAATTTAACTTACTACTTTTACCTACCCTTGAACCTTTCACTCTTTACCTGCCTCAATGACTCTTTCACTATTTTGAAAATTTTCCTCGAGCTTTTATTGTTGACTTGCTTTTGAATAAAAGTTTTCCTCATAGGACATTGTTAACAGCTAACTGTAGGAAATATTGCAATGTTGTAGGATCACTGCACCCTTTAAAGATCCCTCCAAATACCCACAAGTGCATATTTCTGTGTTGGCTTTGTTCATTGAACAACTCCTCTGCAAATAATCCTTAAATTAATAACTTTTAAACCATTCTTTATTCTTGCATTACAAAGCTAAGTGTTCTCACACAAAGCTCCTCTGAAGATCCATTTAGGCACCTCAGCAGGAACTTTGGTACTCTCTGGTGCAGACTCTTGTAGCTGCATTACCCACTCACTTCAATGGGATTTTTGAACACGGGGAAGCATCGGGAATTAGCTTTTCTTTTTTTCCCCCTCTTATTTGTGGATTTAGACACCATTTGTGGTTTGAGTCATATTCAGAAATACACGTATCAGTATCTTCCTTTGGGTTGTATTTTTTTCCCCTGCCTTTGTAGTACAGCAACAACAACAATAATAATAATAACAACAATAACAACAATAATAATAACAACAACAATAATAACAATAATAATAACAATGATAATAATTTATTATTATTATTCTTTTCAAAAGATTACTCAGGCCGGTAAGTGGAGCGTGGCAGGAGTGCGGTACTTCCACAGGGCGCCCATCCCAGGTGCTGGCACAGCTGGGCAGGGGCGGGGGGGGAATGTGAGCAGCCGGCAGATCAGATCAGATGAGATCAGATCAGATCAGGTGAGCACACACACACCTGAGGCGGCTTCCCCAACCCTACACAAGCTCCTGGTACTCAGTGGAGAAATAAATTCATAGGGAAAAAAAAAAAAAAAAAAAAAAGGAGTGAATGTTCCAGGGATGCCCGGACGCGGCCGGCTCACGCTCGCTTGTCCCCTGCATGCCCTGGCCATAACTTTCCGGAGCAGCAGCGCAGTGCAGCGCAGCCCCGGGCGGGTCCCCTTGTCCGCGGGTGGGGCCCGCACCCCTCGGAGCGGCGGCCGCGGCCCTTCCCGAGCGGGGCTGCGCTCTGCCCGTGCCTTGTCCGCGAACCCCCTCTAGCGCCGAGCCCGCCGCACTCGGCCCGGAGCTGCCGGCTGCGCCGAGGCGAGGGGGCGCTTCCCGCGCCCGCCTCACGCACCGCGCCCCGCGCTCCCCTCGGGCGGGCGGCTGAGGAGGGGCCGCCGCTCCGACGCTCTCCTTCCATCCCTCCCTCTCTCCCTCCCTCCCTCCCCCCGCGGCCGCGCCGGAGGAGGGGGCGAGCGAGCGCTCCGCGGGCGGCAGGGGAGCGGCGGCACCAAAAAACTGCAGCCGGCAGCGCGGCACGCAAATCAGGAGGGAGCAGCGAGCATCACACCAGAGCCGCCTGGTTTCTGATTGCTCCGCGGCAGAGGGGGAGAGACAGAGACTGACTGAGAGGGGCGAGCGGCAGAGCCGGGCACGGCGGCGGAGGGTCGGGGATGCCGCCCCGCAAGTTTCCTTGATGCATTCGGGAGCGTGAGGAGGAGTCGCCGACCCTTCTCGCCCTCGCTGCGCTCCACCTGGGGAACCTGAAGCTCCACCTGAAGCCCCTCGGCGCTGCCTCCGGCCGGGGATGCGGGGCAGCGTGCGGCGCGGCCGGGGGAGGAGGCTGCTGCCGCGCAGGAGGCTGCTGAGGCTGCCAGGGGCGCTCCTGCGGGTCTGAAGGTGCCACCGGCCCGAGCCGGCGGAGGGAGCGGGGCGCGACCCCCGCCCGCCGCCGCCTGGAAGTTGCCGGAGCTCTCCCCGTGCCCAGCGCCGCCGCCCCTCGCGGCAGGGCGGCAGCGGGGGTCCCGGCGCCCCCGCCCTCGCTCTCCGTGCTGCCGCCGTGCCCCGGGAGCCCGGGCCTGAGGGAGCGCGGGCAGCCTCGGCGGGCCGAGGTCGCGGGGCGCTCGGCGGGCACCAGCCATGGGGTGTAGTGAGGTGAGGGCGCTGCTCTGGAGAGTCGGCCTCCTCCTCCCCCTGCTGACAGCGCGCCCCGCCGCCGCCGGGCACGTCGCCAGCAACCACGGTGAGTGAGGGCGGCCGCGGGTGCGCTGCGGGGCGGGCTGCCCGCAACTTTCCGGCGGGCGAGGGGATGGAGGGAGGGAGGGAGGGAGGGGTCCGCACCTGCGGCCGCCGGCTCGGCCTCTCCCGGCCGCGGACGGGGATGCGGGACCGGGCGCCTCCCGGCGGCCACCCCTTCCTGCCGCCCCCGAAAGTTGGGGGTTTGCGGCCGGAGGAGCAGCGGGGCTCCCATGCCGTCCCCGCCGGGGATAACTCCGCGGCTGCCGGGAGCTGTCCGCTGTCGCCCCGGGCACCCTCGGCTGCCGCGGTGTGGGAAGCGAAAGTTGCCTCCCGGCGAGGTGGAGCGCTAGCATCGTTTTGTTTGAAGTGCGGGTTTAAGGTTTGCTGCGGTCCTGCCGAACGCAGATCCCATAGAATGGGTTTGAGAGGGCTCATCGCGCCTTAGGGAGAATTGCTGCTGGTGAGCGAACTGTTCAAAGGTGCCTGGCTGCCCTTAACACCTAATTTCTGCATACTCCTGGCGGATTGTCTGAAAAACACCCATTTAAAATCTTTGTAACAGGTGCATGCTCATCAGGTCGCACCGAAGACGGCATTTAAATTCTTCGGGTTGTAAGGTGTGCGTTTTAGAAAATTACCTCCGGATTAAGAAGGGAATCATCCTGTTCATAGGAATAAATATGCATAGCACGCCCAGAGGATATAATATTTTGTTAGGAAGAACTAAAAAAAAGAGCCCAGACCCGATTATGAAACATCATGTTCCATGTTATCAAGCATCTGGATAGAGCAGAGAATTTCCTGAACTGCTTGTTTTATGTACATCTGTCTATTCAAGTTGCAGAGGATGCATCTATTCCCACAGTATGAGAGGCTTCTGTACCTTTAACATTATTTTTTGTACAATTTGGCTTTTTTGAGGTTTTAGTGTGATATGACTGAGAATACAGGAACTGAAGGGTAGCTCCAAATGTTGCTGCTGACAGAGATTGCTTTACCTGCTGTGTTGAAAGGAGCGTTGAAATTGACAATGGTGGGAAGTAACGGTGAAAGAAAACAAACTGGGTTTAGTCGTGGAGTACTATCACGTATATAGTTCATGTATTTTCACAGTTTTGTTCTGCAGTCCATTTTCAGTGCTCTTTGTATCGACCTCAGTAACAGTAAAATCAGAGAATAAGATCTCTAGAAAATGGGGAAGAACTATAGTATGGCCACAAAGCCCCTGTGCCATCAGGATGAGTTAGGGCAAGGACATTCCAAGTTTCTGTGATTCCTTTATTTCTCATTCATGCTAAATGTGATGAATAATCCCAGTTTGTAATTGTAGAGCCTACAATAACATCAAGGCTGATTTTTGCCATTTCTTCTGTCTTGGAAGACATCAGACTCTCACAGTGGCACAACCCAGTTTTCTTTTGATGTCAGAGGCATTAGTGCATGCTAATGTCTGCTGCATTATCACAAGGCCTAACACCACATATGAATATGATTTAAAAAATATATATTCTTGCTATTGTAGGATAGCAAAGCACCATAACAGCATCAAAGGTAAAGAGTTTTTATCAATTAATGCAACTCAGTTTAGGTTTCTAAACTAATATTTGATATTTTGGGATTAGATTAGTAGTGTTTAAATAGTGTTTTAAAAGTGGTTTAATAGTGTTTTTGAAGGATGAGGAAGACAGTTGCCAAAAGTCTGTCAGGGATGAAGTGGTTTCTTGATGTTGATGTAACTTTTCCTAACAAGTCCAGTGGCTGCAGAGAGTACTGGTGAATTTCCTAACTCCTGAGTAACTTATTTTCTGCACATTGCTTCCAAAGTTCAGTAAAATGAGTAGCCTCTTACCCTTGGTATAGCCATATAACCACAGAAATCAAATAATGAATATAACTCAACAAAACCCAAGAGAACTGAAAATGGACTGAATTAATACAGGTGCTTTCATACACACCCCCCATCTTATTAATAAAATGCTAGCAAAAAGAGCCTGCTTTTAATGATAGCTTTATCTAAATTCAGGAACTGAAGGAAAGGAAATTACTACAATAAAAAAGTTGCCCATTGTGTAAACACTTAAATGTGGAAGGTTAAAATGGCAGTTACTAATACTTGGAATCCCAGTGGCAAAGAATTTTTTTAAGATCTTGTGAGGAAACATAACTTCTTTAAATTTTCCTGAAGTGATATTCTCAGCATGCACGTCTTGAAAACATCTTTGCAAGAACTGCTGTTGGATTTTCCCCAATAATTATTATAGTGATATGTTAACTTTGCTATCTTGTATATTTAGTCTTCTATTTTGTGTGTAGAAACATACCAGCATTAATAGTAAATTGCAAAGGAATGTCTTGTTTCATCTCTTGATGGTTTGGGTGAAAAGGATGGAAGGGGAATAGGTTTATTAATCTGACTTGGTAAACAGACAGCCCTTCCACTTCATTCTTAATGGTTTGTTTCCTATTATTAAAGAGGGATTTTCAGATAAATAAGATACTCTGGTCTTATAAATTGTTATTATAACCATGTTGGGATTAATCTTTTTTGGTCTTGTCAAACAGAAAGAAATAAATACATTTTTTTATATAGCTGTAAGGCTCTTAGGTTGTCATTCTTCACCCAGTAAATCAATGTGTGGTGTCTTAGAGAATTTCTAGCAAGGCAGGCACAAACAATACTATTGGCAGGGAAGTGAACTTACTCATTCATCTTCACTGAGTGGTCAGTTCAAAAACATATTATGGCCATGCCAAGGGCTAATTTTTACTGCTCAGAAAGACCCTGTAGGGTTTGGAATTGCATAGGAGGAGTAAGCATTGCAGTGTGTGGCAGAACTGCTTGGAACAGGGGGCTCAGTTAATGGTGGAGGTTGAATGCTTGCATTTTCGTACAAATTTCCAGTGGTTGTCCCTCACATCCAGTAAGAACAGGCTGCTGTGCAAGGTTTCTGCATGCTGTGGTGCAGCTTTGTTCTTTGCTTGCCAGAACACCATGAATTGGGCAATTGCTGTCAGACCTAAAATTACAGATAATGGCAGCTGGCCTGTGCAGCTCCTTGTGCAAAACTTGTGGGAGCTTTCAAGATAAAGGTCACACCAGGTAACGGCTCAACAGATTCCTGTGCTAAGCATGCACACATAAATGTTTCTACATATATAATATGTAGATATATAAAAATATATGTAGATATATAAAATATATGTAGATAATATAAAAATCAGAAACCATTTGTTTCTATGTGTATGCCAACCAGAAAGAGTTTCTGTACCCTGGCTCCTTTCAGGTTGTATCTGCCATTGTTTATCACCAGACAGTTAATTCCTGAGGCCAACTGTAGAACTTGCAGGGTTTATCATGAGTCATGTCTATTAGTAAGGTGTAAAAAAGTTGATGCTTTCTCAGTTTCCAGCTATCATTACTTCTTGTCAGGTTATGCAAGCGTGGTCTTTTTATTCATACCTCTGAAAGGCACCTGCATTCATTTTTCTCCTCTTACAAAAAAGAAGTTAAGAAATATTGTCAAATGTCAGTTCTGCAATTCATGCAGCCTTTATTTTTACAATGATTACACTTGATGTAAATTGGGTGGCTTAAAGCAGATAATAAAGCTTTTTGATTCTAGTAGTAAAATATCAGGTAGATTACTAATGACCTCGAGGTATTCATCAGTTCAAAGAAGTTGGCTCATTTTCATTCACATATTTATTTTTACAGAAGTGCAATCTAGGCACTCTTTCTGAATACAGAATTCAGATTTTTTTTTTCTTCTGTAGCAATAAGGAGACCAAGGACTAAGTGTGGAGTGGTTGAAATTCTTTCTGAATGAAGCTGATGGTTTACTGCTAGGACATGTCTCTTACTTTGAGGACTTAAAGTACAGTGGAAAGGCTGTGCTGCTGCCTGTGTTGTGCTAGTCCTGGGGAATTCTGATGTTTGGTTGTCCAGCTCATGTTTTAATAAGCATTTACATCATTACAGAAACATGAGAAAGTTAAATAAACAAAGCCATCACAGTAAATGTTGTGCCATTCCCTTTTCAGCATGTAGATAAAATCATGAGCAAAATCATATTTTAGTTTCAAGTTCTTAACAAACTTTTAACAATATTTTTAGCCATGTGTAAAATCCCACACCCATATGGACTTGTGTGCTAATGAAGGCCTGGGAACCTCTGCAGTTACAGATATGCATGAAATGACTTGTTATCCAAGAGCCTCGATTTGTATGCCATGAAATGAACAGATTTGCAGTTAATGGTTCAGGATACATTCCTTGTGTTGTATTTGGCAGTACTGAGGGCTGGATATTTTGGTTGTTGGTTTTTTTTTTTTGGCAAATGAGAATGATTGGTATGGAAATCCTAAATATTAAGAAATGCATAGCTTAAGCAGATAGAGTTTAAAACCAAATCAGTACAGTAGTTTTCATGTAATTTTCAGGAGTGAAAACACCACAGAGGAACTGAAGTGTTTCCTGAAGTTTACCAATTTAACTCTCTGGTCAGACATCATTTCTTCTGAGATGTCAAAAAGTTTACCGAGGAGAGAGACAGAAGGAAAAAGCGTATAGGAAATTGAGTTTTTCTTCTTAACATCTCCTCTGTCTTTCCAGATAGATAGATACTTTTAGATCTTAACTCTGCTTGAGGGTTTGTTTAGGGTATCTGATGTTAAAATTTTCACTTGAGAATTTTAGAAAAGTCACAAAGTTCAGCAAGTTGTTTGCAAGTAAGTTACACAGTAAGTCAATATCCATTTTGTTGACTATTTTTTTGTTATGACAAGTCTTAATGTTTAAAAACCTAATTTAACTGATTAGGGATATTGAGAAAATTTTGTGTGTGTACAGTATGGGAAGGATTTGATTGTTCTTAGATCCCAGTATAGCATAGCTGGGATAGGATCTATTCCTATTCCAGCAGTGTGTGTTGGCTGGAATGTTTCATTAGGATCCTTGGATTTCCCCAATGTGATGTTGACACAAAGATGAGGCTGGCCTTGTGT